GGTAATACTTGTGGTGTAATATAAGAAGATCTCTAAAAGCTAAGAGTCCCTCAGCAACAACTCTAGCCACAACAGTTGGGCAACACCGCACTGACAGCTGAACTGTAAATGAAAAATGTGTGAAATGCAGACGACCATCACAGCACTCTGCCTGAAAACACGACTCCTGCTGTGTCAGGCTTGTGAATGGTTTTTGACAGAAGCTGGCAGCACGCGCGCTCTATCATGTTACAAAGTAAACCGCGTTTAAGGAATCACAATTTCTCAGGTGTTTCTCCACTCAATCAAATCCCGGTTAACACCACTGCAAATTCCTCCTGGCTGCTCTTAAGTGTGAGTGATTGCAAGTGATTGCAAATTTCATGTTATCTCTCGCCTAGACTGTTGGCTTTCTAATTTTTTTTCTCCCACGCGATCACCCCAAGGCCAATGACATCAGATGAAGGTTTAACAGCGTGCAGTTTTGCTCATTTCTGTATTTTGATGTGAGTGCATCAGTCAGGAAAGGATATAAAACCATTGCCCGGGCAAGAGTAAGCTAATATGGTGAGTGCGGGCTAAAAAGAAAATGAAATGAACTGAGAAAAAACACATTAAATGTAATTCACAAAGGCCAAACACAATTTATTTAATAAGATTTTTACACAGCAAATCAAATATGTGCAGAACACAATATGAAAAGAAATCAATTTACAAAAAAAACTTGTATTTGTAGAAAAATTCTGGCCATATTGGAAATCAGAAACAGCCCTCTGTTCCCTCTTTCATGTAATCCATCAGCTAGGCGTGCTTTGATGTGGCCACTTAGCACAAGAAGATACTGCTGTCAGCCACATCAGTCTAAACAAATACCTCAGTGCTCCCCAAAATACACAGCATGCAGCAGTTTCTGTTCAAGCCCAACATCTCCACAAGCTCTCACCAAGCAATCTGCACAACCGAGAGATGTTTGTTCTCTTTTGGACTTCATAAAGAAACGCAAATAGTCCGCTCAAACTCCGAGAAATAAATAACGCTAACAAAATTGTTTAATCCTGATAAAACTGTGGCCTCAAAGGCCGAGACAAATTAAAAAGACATTTTCTCTATTTATGTGACCAGATAGAGCAATTCGTATCTGATTTGGTGGTCCATTTCCCCCCTTGTTGAATTCTTCTATTCCTTTGCATGTGTTCCCACTGGATTTTCTTTGCTTTGGAGTCTTTGGTGGTTGCCTGGATATAAACTCTCATGTCACTGTGAATATGAAATGTCGTCAGTCACTATGCTGCTTGTTTCAAAGAGAAAAATGATCTTACTGTTTAGACCTCAACGCATGAAAGGTTCCTATTAAATTTTTTTTAAGAGAAATACATAATAGGGTCCTTTTTGTCTTCATGAGAATTTTGTTTCTTGGATGTCACATTTATCTCAAAAAGGGTGAGAGAAATCAGTCACTGCTGAAATAAAAATAGTGAAGTCAGAGGTTCATAGCAGAGCACTGGACGCAGAATAAAAGAACAAAAACCGTTTTCACTCTGCTCGCGGAGTGGAGTTCACGACACAAACTGCTCCGCAAGTGATGATATTTCACAACGAGGAGCAAGACCTCTCCGAGCTGTAGACACGCAGTAGACCCGCTCACAGCTGGTCACCGTGTCGAGGTCACAATGTGAACAACTGCAGTATAATCTTCAAAAAGCCCCTGGATAAACAGTGGAAACATTTTCACAACCTCCTCTAACCTTTGGGATCAGCTGGAGTCTAACTGACCACGTTTCCAGAAAGGGGCCTAACAGGGGTCGGTGTGAGGTCTGCGAATGTGCGCGCTCCTGTGTGAGAGTGTGTCTTTTTAATATTTGTGTGACTGTGCTGATTTGCATGAGCTAGAATGATCATAGAAGAGTGTACATCCCAGGCTGATGCTTAATCTTTACATTAGAGTACATTTATTTTCACATCTGTTGAACAAATTACAATGAAATTTGTAGCAGTCCTGGTGGTTCCTGCATAATTAACACACATGACTATGATATAATTCAGTACAATTATAAAATAAAACAGCTGAGTTTTATTGCACTTGGTTACACTGCTCACTGGAATGTTGACTTTGTAATGCAAGAGTCCTGTTGTGCTGCTTAGTCAGTAAGTAAGTATTAACATATAAGTACTAAGTATTTAGCAGAGTTCAGGTTTCATAGGTCTCTCTGCAAAGAAGTTGTTTTTAAATTGGTTGATTTTTAAATTGGTTGATTTCAAAAGTATTTTGCCTTAAAAAGTAAACACCGTCATACATCCAGTGACTTTATCCTGTGACGTCAGTACATTATTACAGTTTTCGCTTAACTGGCAAACAGACAAGCTCGGTGTGACTGCTGACCTGTATGTGAAATAATGCAAAAGCTAAATTAAGCTTTGAATTAATTCTTTGCTCGTTCCTGTTCTAATTATGTCATAGCACCTTTATCATCAGTCGGTTGGTGGCTGATTTATAGCCGGTCCACTAGCGTTTTTCTTTTGCTTTGTAAATCCGGTTGAAATTGGTGCCAAATTTAAATAGAAATCTGGTTGAGAAATTCTCTTGCCTGTAAGTCAGAGAGACTGCGTAGATCATTGTAACAACAAGTATAACAATCGATTACACCAAAAATCTCAATCAGTTACGATCCAAACCGCTACTATGAATAGCAATCATTATGGCTTAAAATGCACGAAACCTGCTCTCGTGAGCTCAGATTTGGCTTTAAAAAAAATAAAAAACTGATAATTAAATATCGTTAAGGTCATTATGGAGTCGTTAATGAACAGTTTCTTCCTTGTTAGACGGCTGGGCTGTGTTTATTTGAACTTCCAGCTCTGTCAGTTACAGCTTGACAAGCAGAGACCATTTTGGCTCGCTCTTATGAAAGTTGAAATGTTGCCCTGTTACACACACGTGTTTGCCTTTGGTAGTTCTTTAAATAATGTTGATAGCAGCAAATGACCATGCCTTTTAAATTAAGTAAACTTTGTGCTTTTTTTCCCTTCTTTTTTTGCTTTCAGTGCCAGATCATAAAACTCCCCCTTTGCACTTAAAACATAATTCATAAAGATGTTGGGCTGAAATCCAAGGGACACAGGGAGGGAAACAGCAGAGGGGG